AGAAACCCCCAAGCTAAGAAAGTGTAAATATTATAAAACCTCTACATAAGACAAGCTATACAAGTTAAAATTAATAAAACTGTACATTTTAATATTGAAATAAATTGAAGAAATTAATTGTTTTTTTCGTTTAGGAAATACAACATATTAACTAAGAAACCCTCTGTTGTTAAAATTGTGTTGTTTTTTCAAAAAATCTTTATTTTAACTTAAATTATAGAATCCTATAAGAGATCTGGAGTACTTGGATGCACTTATTATTTTAATATATAAAGTGCTTTAAATTTTTATATCAGCAAGTATTGCAAGAAATAAGTTGAAAAATTTCTTCTAGAAAACAAGTGGCTAGTTTCATTATAAGGAACTAAAATTATTGTCTTTTGATTTTTATAAAAGTTTCTAGCTTAAAACTTGAAGCAATATTTATGTCTAAATAAATTTTAATAAAAAGGCCCAATAAGCAAGCTGCTTCTACCTTTAAGTTAAATTGTTTTTGTTTTTGCTTTAAAGCATCTTAAGACTACTGAATAGTTTTGTGGACATTTTTTCAGTCCAAAGGAGTTCCCTAAAGATGGCGAGTTCCATTGTGACCAACTCTGGCTATGATAGGTTAATTCCTTCTTTATTATTATTATTGAGTAAAGGATCGTGCACTGCGACCTGAAAGATCTATTGTGCCCCTTTGTCGGGTTAGAGTATTTCTCCAAGTTCGATTTCTTTAATGAAAGACAGTATGGATCCTATCTTCCCCAGTCTTGAATCCTTATGATCCATGAAATACCCTCCTAGGTGTTTCTTTCGCTTATGCATCAGTGCCGGGCATTCTAGCATTCTAGATTGTGAGAGTCTTGGTAGCATTATCCAATAGAGTTCTCTCTCTTTTTTCTCTGTGTCATTCATAATAATGGATAGAGCTGCTTTCCCTAGACCACAGAATGGTTTTGGGCCTATCATTCTTGATGCCGCGCCTCTTCTCGCAAATTTGTCTGCCATTCCATTACCTTGGATTCCAGTATGTCCCGGAATCCGTAAAAGGTGCACCTGATTGATACCACCGAGTGTGTTCAGCTTGTCAATGCATTCCCATACCAGTTTGGATGTTACCTGGTAAGATATGAGTGCCATTATAGCTGCCTGGCTGTCAGTCAGTATTGCAATTTTACGGTTCCGGTAGTTACGTTCAAGATTGAAACTGGCGCATCTATCTATTGCGTATATTTTCGCTTGAAAGATGATTGTATTGTTTTCTAATGCTTCCCAGTATTTTTTGCCTAGTCCATAAACACCAGCTCCAGCTCCCTCATTGGTGAGAGAGCCGTCTGTATACCATGTTATCGTGGTTTCTTTTATTTTTGGGGTGTTAGATAAACCTTCCCAGTTCTTTTTTTTGCCAAGTTCAGTTTTGAAGATTTTTGTAAAGCTATGTTTTACAATCATCCTGTCCATTGGCAATTCTTCTTTTTCTTCTATTAAAATTATTTTGAAAATAGTTCAATAAATCAAATAAATTAGAACTTAAGACGTGATATAATTCCTATAAACAATGCATATTCAAAATACAATACCTAAATAAGCATGGTAATTGCAGGGGGTGTACATATGTAGTTGTACTTCACAATTTATTTATTATCTGGATATACATCGTACAACTAAATAAAAATTCTTAGTTTAAAATATTAATCAACTATTTATTAATATATTATAAAGTATTATAGTTTTTACATTTATTTGCAATTATAACAATTATTATAGTAACATTTATTTAAAAATGTTTAAAAGCAATATTCAAAGAAGGAAAGAATTTTTTAATCGAACACCTGAACTTTAACTTAGTGTCTGAGTTTTCTTAATGATTCATTTAAAACAAAAATATAATACAACATTTCATTTCAAAGAGATACTTTAATAAACTTTTGCACCTTTATTAAGTAAATTCCACAAATAAACTCCAGTTCCACCTACTCATGAATGAGATTTACTCAAAATACTTTGACAAAAATTTCCAACGTAATTTGGTAAAACGCTTAAAAATGCTCCACCTACATCTATTATTTCTGAAAGCATTTATTTTACTTTTTTCAGTGAAAAGATTTGTTCAAAGAAGTCAAAACTCAATTAACCTACCCATTAGCTATTTCGCACTTGCTCCATTGTCCTATATCAACCTCTATGCTTTCTCCTAAGTCAATGTCCTTGTGACACGCCAAAATTCAATTTGCATAAAAATTTAAATCAGTAATCAAATTAAATTTGCGTAAGTCAAGTAATAACTTCTCTCGATGCTAATTCATTATTTTTAGCGTAGATTAAAGACTGCAACTATCGTGCCGGCATACAATCAAGTGCTCAGCTTCGACACAAGAATTTAATTAAATAATGAAATTATTTGAATTTGCGACACTTTTGACCTCCTTTATGGGTAGAAATCACGCAAAACGAACAGGTTAGACTTTTTGTATATAAATAATAACCATTACAGTTACATTAATAATTCAGCAATAGTGATTACACAAAAATGTTGTTGTGACTTCGTCTTCCACGTATGTGACAGAACTTAATAAAAATTCAGTATCACATAGAAGCATTTGAGCATTTCTTTCCGTTTCGTCTTGTCATAAAATGCTCATTAAAATGCTATAAAATTATGAAACTGTGAGAAATTTCACATCATTTTATTAAATTCCAAACGCCCTCCCTCAACCTATGGGCTATGTCTCCACTAAACCTCACTATGCCTCACTATACCGCACAACGCCATCTAATAATCTGGTCATAATTGATGTTTAAGCGAGACCCACTAAGATCGAGTGAGGCGATAACTTAAAAATCATGTCACATTCATTTCACACTCACAGCAGCCGCGATACGAGTACTGCGATGCCATTTGACGCCGAAATTTATTACTTTTCCTTGTGCTCAGAACTTCGACGAAAATTTTTTGGTAGTTCATTGTTGGAATTTTAAAGATTTCTGGGTCATAAAAAGATAATAAAATTTTTCAACTTAAATAACAAAACAATATAAAACAAAGGAAAACGTGAAAACTTCAGAATGTGAGCGAACAACTTAAGATGCATTAAAATCTTCAACGCGAATCTTTCGAATAAAAATAAAAAATTTTAAATTTGATAAAAAATTTTATATCTACGATGTCTTGACTTTCTTGATGTTTTAGAACTGAATTATTTCGTTCTATTATGTTTAGGAAAATGTTAGAAAATATATAAAAAATTAAAGTTAAAGTTCGCCTTTAAGTGATAGTGCTTTGCTTTATGTGATATAGAAAATATTACTATTTGATAAATGTTTCACTTGATCAACATTTTAACATTATATTTATCACTTCATTCAGTTTTATAACTGATCCCTAATAATGACATAAGATATCCATTTAGATAAACAAAACAAAAAAAAAAACCAGTTCGAACGACTACCTATATATTGAAATATATGTATGTATGTATGTATATTGGTCCTTTTTTCGAGTCAGCGCAACTGGGCACTTTTACTCTTTGATAGCTGGGGGTACTACAGGGTTCCACCCATCTCATTGACTAATTTATGCATTCGCTATAAGCTTCATAATTATTCAGTGATTGATTTAAGATCTGCGTACCACTCCCTACGGAGAGTGATTACTCTAAGATTAGATAGTGCTAAGTAGAATAGCCTGTCAGTTTTCGCATATAACTTCAGGGCTCTGTACCTTATGTTTTTTTCGATCGGGTCTATTCTAAGGTCTCTTAGCATATCATGTATGCGGATGTACCATGGCACTTAGAAGAGTCTTCGGAGAGCCTGATTTTTAGCAACTTGTAGCTGTTGTATAGCAGAGTCGGAAACTTTGCTATACGCGACACACCCGTAAAGTAATGCTGGTCTAATTATCTGGCTATAGATCAGTTTTCTGTTCTTCGCGGTAAATAATAAAATAAAATAATAAAAACTTGTATTTATCATTAGTTATTTATTGATCACTGAGTGGTTTTAAAAATAATGTTTAAATTTTACATGATACAGTTTAAAATATAAATATTATAATTAGTTTTTAAGTTTTAATAGTACATATCATATACATATAAATTTAAATGATTTAACTTACTTATATTATTCAAGAACTACATTCTCCACTTATACTGTTTTCATTTGGTAAATCTCGAGTAAAATGTATAACACTCGAGATTAATTTAAAACAATCTAGATCACTGATTCCCCATCCCCTATGATATCATTATTTTTATAAGGGACCACAAAGATTAAAAATAATAAACTATATGATTATTTTAAAATGCTTTATGCATCTTTGGTATAATGAATTGTATAAGTGCATCGGTACCTTATATACCTAGGCTATAAAGTTGGTGTATAATTATTTAGAAATTTTTTGTGCTTTATTTCTAATAAGTGAGGTCTCAGTGGACAAATTACAAGCTATGTGTCCATATCCGCTAAATTTAATTCCCTTTTTTTTTTTTTTTTAAATATCTATTTTATTTATTGAATCTCTTTTATAAGAAGATTTACAATAAGTATTCAAATCTTAAAAAACTAAAGCAAACAAATGAACTGACAATTATAACTGCAGTTAATTGATAATAATTAAAGTTAAAGTTATTTCATGAAAAGCAAAGAATAAAGAAATAAATAAAATAAAATAAAAAATAAAAAATAAACGAAAAAGAAAAAAAAAAGTATATTAAATTGAAGTAAATTAAAGTTTAAATAAGGTTGATAATAAGTAAATATATAAAGATAGAAAAAGGAATCAGTGCGTTGGTACATCTTTTCTGCGTAATCTTGACGAAGGCCGCGTTAGCAATAGATTCCTTGCAAGGTGGTTCGGATGAATTTCAAGTTTTTGTTTGTATTTGCATTTGATTTTAGTGAGTTCATCTTTGATTAGTGATATTTTCAGATCTTCATGAATTTTATCACTTCTTATATACCACGGAGCCCCAGTAATTATACGAAGGATTCTGGATTGAGTACGCTGAATTAACTCAATGTTGGAGGAACATGCATTACCCCATAGTTCAGCGCCATACTTCCAAGTTAGCTTAAGTAAACTATTGTAGAGTAACACTTTGTGGTTTAGCCGTAACTTGGAATTATTATGCAATAACCAGTGAATTTTTTGCGTCTTAAGTTTTATTTGCGTTCGCTTAGCTTCTAGATGTTTACGCCAAGTTAGTCTCCTATCCAAATGAACACCCAGATACGATACGGTGTTTGATTGCGGAATGGTGATGCCGTTGAAGGTTACTGGGGGACATGTATCCTTACGTAGGGTAAATGTTACATGTGTGCATTTACTTTCATTTACACGAATGCGCCAGTTGGCTAACCATGTTTCAATGAGTTCGAGGTGTTCAATTAAGTCCCTAGATGCTATGAATCTATTTTGGTGAGAACTAAGGACAGCAGTGTCATCAGCAAACGTAGATGTCATAAGACGAGAGTTGCTTGGTATATCCGAAGTAAACAGGATATAAAGTATTGGACCTAGAACACTGCCTTGAGGAACTCCAGCCTTTATGTCTAGATTAGCTGTTGTATGGCTTCCAACTTTTATATGGAATTTCCTGTCCTGAAGATATGACTCTAGTATTTTGTGAGAGTAGTCAGGAGTGAGTTCCTTGATTTTATAAATAAGTCCAGCGTGCCAAACCTTGTCAAAAGCTTGTGCTATATCAAGAAATATAGCAGAGCAGAATTTTTTATCTTCAAATGCTTTCCTAATCTCATTTGTTATGCGATTCACTTGCTCGATGGTGCCATGTTTGGCACGAAAACCAAACTGGTGGTGAGGTATTATGTTATTTTGCTGTAGATATGTTGTTATCTTCCCGAGAAGCATTCGTTCAAAAAGTTTTGACAGCATTGGTAAAAGACTTATTGGTCTATATGAAGACGGTAATGTTAAGTTTTTTCCTGGTTTTGGAATCATTATAATTTGTGAAATTTTCCAGCTTTGAGGAAAGTACCCAAGGCGAAGTATTGCGTTAAATATTTTTGTCAGTATTTTGAAAGCTATTTGAGGTAACTCTATTAGCATTCTTGCTGTAATTTGGTCATATCCTGGGGACTTGTTGACACATAATTGGGTTTTTGCAACCTGTTGAATCTGTTTGGTTTTGAGTTTAAGACGCCCATAACTGACTAGAGGAGATTGAATTGGTAGTTCAAAGTTATTGGTCGGAGGATTTGGTTGAAATACCTGACTTAAATGGTCTGCGAACACATTTGCTTTGTCTACTTCATCCCTAGCCCATTTTCCGTCGGCTTGCCTGAGCGGTGGTGCACTCTCCTTAGGTGTTTTTAATTTCCTTACCGATCGTCATAGGGAATAATTCGTACTTTCTGTAGGTGTTAACTTTCGTACGTAGGTGTTCAAACTATTTTCCATCTCTATGAGCAATGATTTTTTTAGGCGTTGTTTAGCTGCCAAAAACTTGAATTTACTTGTAGGTGATCTATGCTTTTGCCACATCCGTCTCAGATGTCTTTTTTCTCTGACGATATTTTCAATTGCATCTGAAGACTTTCTTGTAGATCTAGTAAATTCACTGACCATTTGTAATTATCTTCCAAACGCAGTGGAGCATCGGTTCGGAACCACTGCTCTAGTTATATTGCCAGAGTAGAATGATTACCCTGAAATTAACAGCTGTTTTATATAACCTAACTAATAAAGTGTGAATTGATTCGATTTATGTATTTATGAAAAATTTAAATGCCTACTAAAATTATTACAAAAATATTATATTACTATATTATATGTTTGATTGTGCAACAAAATTTCACAGATCAAGAGTAAATGTAGATTAAATCCAGAGTTACCAATCGAAAAAGTCATAATAACATTATAATGTGTTAAGTCATTATAAAGTCATTTATCTAAAAAAATTATGACTTAATTGAATTTTTGTTTTGAAACAGTTACTTCGGTGACGATATCCTCTTTTTAACTGTCAAGAACTTTAAGTAGAGTCGTGACTGGTGTTGGGGACTTCAACAAAAATATTTATGTGGTTTCAAACCGTCAAGTCTTGTGTACTCACATAAAACAAGACTACGCTTTGTATCTTACACATTAATAATTAATAATAATAAAAGGTATTCGTGAAAATTGCCCAACAGCCGGTACTGCGGCCAGAAGAGACCTATTGTACCAGGTCTCTTACACATATTAAGATATTAATAATATTTTAACATGGGTAATGCTTATGACATGTTATCTTGATTTTGCAATGTATAGCTTTTTTTAAAAAATTCTAGTTGAGGAGAGTTGCTAATGGCATTATCGAATCTTGCAGAAATATAACTGCTTAAATGAAATAAAAAATCTTGGTTAAGCATATATTTATTATTCATTCCAATTGCCATGATAGTTCCCTATTTAGAAAACTATCTCACTTCAACTATCCGGTTGAAGTGAAGCGATTCTTAAGAAAATATTCATATTTTTTTACAGTTCTAACTTATATTCCTAAAAACAATTATTATCATTGACAATTTTATATGTTATATGACAAATTTCTTCTACAATAAAATAGTTGTTAAAATTTGTAACAGAAAAATTACAATGAAATGAAATACTTATTAATTTATATGAATAGAATGTAACTGTAGTTTATGCGTTTGCTCCAGAAATAAAAGAGTGAGTGTCGTTGTTGCTCAAACAACAACAACAATTTAGTAAGTTTTCAAGCTTTATAGATATTGGCAATATCTGACTCACCTAATAATTTACTTTGATAAAAAATTAAATTTATTAATTTTATTTTGCTTGACTATTTGTTATTTACAATTATTTCTATTTAAAATTTTCTATATAAGTGAAGTGTCACAATTTTTTTGAATCATTTTAATTACCAATGATTTTTTCTTTATTATTTATTTTATTAAAATTATTATTCATAAAAAGATATTTTTTTTGCAGACAAAACCGCAGTTACAAGTATATTATTCACTTTACAGTCGTTGACGTAACTCGATAAATGAAAGCAAGGTGACGATATTCTCAAAAAGGTCTAAGCGATTAGTTCTATTGTACAGATCTGGATTATAAATCACTACATTTTCATATACATTTATATTTATATGAGCAAATATATTATTCATAACATTAAATATGAAATTGGTTTGGGTGTATTGCACCAGATAAATTTAAAAAAAACTCTTTTAATAATTTTTATGCAAAAAAAAATTATTAATATATAAATTGTTGTTGGCACGTATTCTTAATGAAAATGTTATATACTTTTAAAAGTTAAAATTGCTGTTGTACTTAATTCTATAATTTATTCTTATTATTATTGCAGTGCATATTTTTACAATTGCAAAATAAAACTAGAAAAAATTGGTTTCGGTAAAGCCGGTAGCTACGTTATAGACAATTTTCTCTAGTGTTAAATACAAATTATTAATGTTTTTTGTTTTTGCACCTACTAGTCACACATAAAATTTTTTAATTAAAAACCAACGCACATATCTAATTGTAAATTAAAATCTATTTCCGATAATTGCTTGTTATAAGTGATTTTATATATACATATGTATATATATATTTACATATGTGTGAAGTTACAAAAACCCACGATGAAATACTTCATTCCGGTAGCTTAAAATTAGATAAACTACTTTACAGACAAATACATTGTAAAATAATTTATACACTTATTATTGAATTAATAGCTAAGTAATTATAATAATAATTAATTATAATAATAATTAATTACCGAGCAATAAATAGACGTACCTACAGCTACACGGAGATAAGAAACGGATTTTACTTATAAATACATATATAAATACTTACCCCCGTCTGATCAAGATTATAATTTCTTTATATGGCATTCGATCTAATAAATATCTTCTAATTACTTATCTATCATCACAATTGTATAAAATTATACGTTTTACAAGTGTATCTGTTTAATTTTTAAGACTAATATTTCTAATTAAGACTGATTTCTATTTAAGACTAATATGTCTGAATTTTTGGGTTCAAAAGAAAAAATGTATATTACTCATCATAGAAAATTTTCACTGTTAAATGCTTATTTTGAAGTGCTTTGTAGGCCCTTTATCATTTTTAAGCACAGATCAAACTTAGAGTTAATGGACTGACCCATTATATAACTTATTAACGGCGTTAGCTGCGTTCTTCAGTAAAGGAACGCCATATCGCAGTTGTACGGACAAATCAACTGCTTAACTTGATGATCACAAGGAGTGTTGCGCTAATAGTGATTTTTAAACACAAAATAGTTACATTTCGATTGAGCACATTTACTCTCTTGTAGCTGTGATAAACTTAGAGTGTATCTATCTTTCGATTGGGCACCTTTACTTTTTCGTAGCTGTGATAATTTAAAGTGTATCTACTTCTGCATTAAAAACATTTATTTTGCCCTAGTTTTTAATAACGTTGTGGTGTATCCACATATTGATTGAACACCTTTTCTCAGTTGTAGTTTTGATGATTTGAGGTGTATGAACTTCTTAGTTAAGTACCTTTACTTCTTTATATTTTTGATCACTTGAACTGTATAAACTTCTCGAATCAGCACCTATTATTTTTTTGTAATTCTGACCACCTAATCCAAAAGTGGATCAAGCACGTTTCCTCTTTTCTAATTTTGACCACTAAGAGTGTATCTAATTTTCGATTAAACACTTTTGTTTTTGAAATTTTGACCACTGTGGGTGTATCCATTTATCGATTAAGTAACGTTACTCTTTGAAAATTTTGATCAATTAGGGTGTATGAACTTTTTAGTAAGCGCCTTTCCTTTTGTGTAATTTTGATTCAGTTTTGTATACACTTGTCGAATAAGCACTTTTATTTATTTGTAGTTTTATTCACTTGGGGTATACCCACTCTTTGATTAAGCACCTTTGCTCTTCTGTAGTTTTAATCATTTGAAGTGTATGGACTTTTCAATTAGGTATCTTTACTTTTTTGTACTTGTGGAGTACGGACATTTCAGTTAAGTACCTTCACTTTTTTGTAGTGTTCATGATTTGTGGAGTATGGACATTTCAGATAAGTACCTTTACTTTTAAGTGGTTTCGATCACTTGAACTGTATTCACTTCTCGAATCAGTACCTTTATTTTTTGTAATACTGACTACTTAGGTGTCCACTTTTGGAGTAGGCATCACTTCTCGAATCGGCACCTATATTGTTTGTAATTCTGACTTTTGGATTAAGCACCTTTACTCTTTTGTAATTTTGATCACTTAGAGTGTATCCACTTTTGGATCAAGCACTTTTATTTTTTCTTTATGTTATTCTGACCACTTAGATTGTGTCCACTTTTCGATTAAGCACATTTACTCTTTATATATTTACTCATTTTAGGTGTATCATTAGACAGACGAAACTAAGTCATAACTGATGTTATATTGATATAACATATAGGGTTAACTTACTGGGGACTTGAATTTTTTTTAAAAACTCAATTGATATTGATATTAACTGAAAACTTGAAAGAATCTTAAATTTTGTGCTAAAAAATTGATTTATTTACACTTTAAAAAATTACTATATACCTTTAATAGTACCTATTACATATTTGTGTGTAATTCCTAATGATAAATTGTTGTTGCTTAAATATCCATTGAAAAAACTTTCTATAAATGTCCTATTTTCAACTTGCTGCCCTAATCCCATTTGTTTTTGGTATCACTTTACTTAAGCTAACTCCAACAAATGTTACCATAATTGGCCTTTAATCGTTTTTGCAAACTTTAACACAATTTCCTTTAAATAATTTCTATTTCATGCCTTGTAATGTGGCGTAATTTTAAAATTAATTTAAAGCGAATTAAATCGGAGTATGCATTTTGGTTAAGTTTGCAGTCTCCTCGTTTACAACTACAAGAACAGGATACTAGTTGTGCCAACTGCTCTTTGGAGTGAGCAACGAATTTACAACTTCCATATCATACCCCACACCTAAAGGACCAAAACGGAAACAGGAGGCATTAGCTTGTTAATTTCTCATATATTATTTTTTTGCGTAAAATTCAGTAGCTACTTAAATGGGCGGCTAAAGAAAGTCGGAATACGAGCACAGAAAAATAAAAAAAAAAAATTAAATGAAAAGTGTTTATTGCCAGCTGCTAAAGCGGTTGTTACTGCCAACATATTTTCCCTGTCTGCAGCATTTTAATCATTTCGATAGCTTAGTACTTAAAAAGGACCCTTTCAAAAATTCACACAATGCTAGTCTTAGAATAAGAGTAAGAGTAAGAGAAGTGATACCAACCGAGGAAAAAAACAACAAACCGACAACGATGAAACATAGCACTACTGACAGCGGAGTTTGATTTAATGTGCTTCGAGGCGGTAGAAGTCAAGACAAAAGGATATTGTGACATAGATTTATTAGCTACGCATGCACAGCAGGACACCCTCACATAGTATTTTATAAATAACGGTATCAGACACACTAGTAATTATTTCCCAACTCAGTGCCCTTGAAATATTGCAATAGAGCAAAAAAAAAAAAGGAAATGAATATAGGGATACGCATATTTCAAGGATGTTCGGCTGTCACAACTGGCAGATTGTAGAGTTTTTATACTTGTTGACATTTTTGAGAAATGTTGTCATTACCCGTAAATTAGCAATTCCTTGCTGATGTGAATCTAAAAACTGTCTAATCGCCGAAATCGTTAAGTTATGCACCCCACCGCCTAAGCGCTTTTGCGAAAATGCTGTGCGCAGCGGAAAAGGGGAAATTGGAATTTAAAAAATGTTTTTTAATTATGTTTACATTTACGTGTGTCAAGGCTTATAAATAAATTAGTCCCATTAAAATGGTAAATGATATGCTACTGAGACGAATAAAAGTAACACAAGGATATATGAGTGAAATATTTGAAGAGATTTATTCCAACATCATTTACCTTACTTTACAGGATATAGCACTGACAGGAAGTTGAAATAATGAAATTTCTTAAGCATATGAAGATGAGAGTGTAATAATTCTTTAATACTGTAACAAAGAAAAATAAACTATTTTATTTTATTTTTTTGATCCCATCAAAAAATACATAAAGGATAGAGCCCTGGAATTATTTGCGAAATCTGACGGACTTACTAACACCGCGTTATCAAATCTCAGAATGGTTACAGGCTCCTCGGAGAGCTATGCAGATCTGACGTCAATTATTGCTTAGTCTAATGAAGTGATAAACAATAATCCAGTCAAGGCGCAAAGAGGGGTTTTGTAGAAACGTCGCAGTTAATAGAGAGTAAAAGTGCTTAGGTGCACGGACTCAACTCAACTAGCCTCAACATAGTAGTAGTGAAGATGAGAGTGTAATAACTCTTTAATACTGTAACAAAGAAAAATAAACTATTTCATATGAAAATTATATAAAAATTGGTTAATTTATCTACGTATCTGCCATAAAAAATAAAAGTTAAATAAATTGAATAAAATATTTATGTAAAATTTCTTTCTTAGAAATTTGAATAAATTTCAAATAACATTATTAATGTAATTCTTTCTCGAAAAACCTATTACCTACTCAATAGCCTTTATGTTCCCTTAAAACGTCGAACCCAAATTTCTAAATAAAAGTCATTTGATACACAATATATAACAAATCACTTATGCTTATAAAGGCCATAATGGAAAATTTAAGAAAGACTTGCGAAAATTCTCTTTCAAAAGGGCAGAATCATTCAAATTTATTAACATAATTTCCTGCCTTCATATGGGAAACTTATCTGAACCATTTTATATTTCATAATTGCTTATTTGCTGATTTGCACGTTTTTCAAATTCGCTACTTTTGTATCTCAACCACCACTTCTC